GTTAGTAGCAGAGTTAAAGGAACTGTGATTTCTAGGCCTTTGCTCTTCATGTGTTTGCAGTTGGCTGTCAACCACGATTTTCCGTTTCTTGAGTTTTCATTGTTCAATTAGAATTTTTGAAAATAACTATTAATATGTTGCATCGGTCTCCCTAGAAACTTGATGTGTTTGTGCTTTGCAGTTTTCAATTTATGAAAAATGTAAATGCACTCTTGTCTTTAAGTAGTCCTTTTTCACTAGATATTTGTTTACCTCTTTATAGTTAAAATATTTATTTCCCAATGAATGAATCGGTGTGCATGTTTTAAAAGATACCTTACTTTTTATTTTTCTGATTGTAACAGTTATATTCATTGTAGAGAATTTAGAAGATAAGAATAAACAAAATACTAACTTAAAAATGGCCTCTAACCTCACCTGGAGATACAGTTGTAAGGTTTGAAATTGAGAATTACAAGTCCTCTCACGTTGTTCTTCTTATTCAAGTACGTTTTGGTTACTGAGACCCTCGAATTCCCATATGAATTGTAGCAGAAAGCAGTCAGTTTCTGCAGAGGAGCCCGCTGGGTTTGTGATCGAGACCACGTTGAATATACGGATCGCTCTGGGAGCACTGCCATTCCAAGAGCACTGTCTTCTGATCCAGGAATATGCGTGGTGTGTCTGTCCAAGTATTTAGGTCTTTAATTTTTTTCAACAATGCGTTGACTTTACATAGTATTATTTTACTTTATTTTTTTTTGGCTTTATACTGAAGACAAGTGTGCAAGGTACCGGGATCAGAAGTGTATTTGAGCCCCGCCACTTGCTGCCAACATGGATGCTGCGCTCTTGCTTTGCCCTCTGTACAATCTTGCACAAAATAGGACCTCAGTAACTCTCTCTTGAATGAATGATTATATGATTGTTGGATGATGCTTGAGAGTCCTTGTGATGATGTCTTTTTCCCAGTCTTTCCCTTCTTCTTAACTATGCCCTTTCTCTTCCTTTCCTCCAGCCTGTGTTTCAGCCTGTCTGTGGAATTGATTTTCTCTGTCTGTAGAATCTTCCTTTCACTGGTTCACGATAATGTTACGTGTGGACTGTGGAAACTTGCTAGATTTCAAGAAAGAGCAAATCCATTGCATGCTTGTATTTTTAGACTGTGGTATTCTTTTATCGATTGAAATTAAATCAGACTGACCCCCTGAGCCCTCCCGTGAGCTCTTTTCGCCTTCCTACAGGTGATACTGATTTGGTTGCTGCATGTGCCCTTCCCCCATCCTTGGTTTTGGATTTGAGTAAGTCACCATTGTGGGGAGCCACTCATGACCTGAGGACGGCCGGCACAAAACAGGATAATAAATCTTGAGTGCTAGCATCAGGCTTTGAGGTTGATCTATCAAAGACAATCTCTGTCCCGCCACCCCTTTGGGATGTTTGCGCCAAGGAATCTTAAAACCTCAGGAACGTCCTATACTAATGAGACACTAATGGCCTTTGAGCAAGAAGATACAATCAGCATACAAGTTACTGATCTAAGCCTATGGCGGTTTATGGAAACAATACACAAGTTAATGATTTTACTACACGCTGTCAGGTGGTCTTAAGTTTAGAAGACAATGCCTTTGCCTACATGAAGGAATGCACACTCTAGCTGGTTGAAATTGTATAAATTAACTGCTGAAAATAAACTCGTCGTCCATTCTTGGCCTTGCGTCTTGCAGGCTTAGAGTGCGACCCTCTCAACCCCACCTTTTAGTGTCTTCTTTCTTTTCTCAGTCCTGTAGAACAGGTTTCTGGACCTGCTCGTTGTCGGCTGGCTCCGACACACAATCAGTGGAGCCCTCTCTTTAAAAGATGAAGAGAACATTTGCTCCTTCACCCT